CAGCATACCGGAAGAAAACAGAAATCCGAATTATAAGTCCGAATACCAAATTGAACGGAAATGCCGAACTAAATAGAATACCGAAAAGGAAAAAAAAAATTCGCAACTTTGAACTCAATAGTAGTACAGCGCTGATTTGGAAGATTGAGAAGGCAATCTAATTCCTAACCAGACTTACCTTTGTGAGCAGATCCGTTATATGGTCTGCTCCGATACCAAAACTGTTTCATACTTCAACGAGTATGGGCAGAACCAAAGATCAACCAATGTAGGATGAGCATATATGCAGCGGAAGTCTGATAAACGGACTGACTCACATAGACTGACTCACGTAGCATCACTCCACACACATACAATCGTGAGGTGGTGGGGTCTGAGCCATACATAGAAGATGCTCAGCCCCGTACACACATACACAGACGAATGGGGGAGGAGAGACGAAGAGGTGGGGGGAGGTAGACAGCACCGAAAGTCACGGAGATAGAATCTGATAGGTCACCGATATGGTAGTCCAAAATGTCATCCAACAAGATCAAAATGTCGAGGACCATAGGTCACCAATGTCGAGAGTCCAAATGTAACCGGTGTCTGAACGGTGATGTCGCCAAGTATCAACCCCAACGATCTCCAAGTCTCCAATCCGGTAAGTACCACAGTCTTATACCACCGAAGTCCAACACTGATCTCKGTYCAACTAGTATAAGTCTCCAATCTGAAGAAGAAGAAGAAGAAGAAGAAGAAGGAGAAGGAGAAGAAGAAGAAGAAGAAGAAGAAGAAGGAGAAGGAGAAGAAGAAGAAGAAGAAGAAGAAGAAGAAGGAGAAGAAGAAGAAGAAGAACGAGCCGAGGAGGAGAGAGAGAGAGGGGACTGGCGATGGGAGGGAGGAGAGAAGCCTCCAACTCCCAATACCTCAGGCAGCTATGGCCGCCGGTAACCCAGTCGCCGCTGCTGCTGCTCCGCTCGCTGCTGCTGCACTAATCTGCGCTGCGCCGTTCCTCGCTGCTCCTGCGCTAATCTTAGGTGCCAGCGCTGTATCGCGCTGTACCATACCGTACCGGTAGAATGCCGGTAGGCCGATGCCTCGAAGTGAGGCCGGACCAGTACTAAGTACTGGTTCGAAGAGGACCGGCCTCACTGCGGCGAGGCCTTGGTTGGGGCTGAACTGTCCAGATCGACGATTCAGGTCCAACCGGAGAGCGGCAGCCTCAAACGGCGCCGTCAGGCCCAAAGACGAAATGTCATTTGGGCCTGGTCCGTAGTCGGGTCCAAGTCGTGGCTGTTATCCCCCAAGGTCGGGCCATTAGGCCCTGATGTGTCCCTCTAGCCCTAAGTCGGGTCCGGTAGGACCCGTGTGGCATCGAAGATGTAACACACCCACTCCTTCCTTGTTCTTTTATCCTCTCGGAGCCTCTGTTTCCAGATTTCGGGGATAGCTTCCTACAATTGTTGCAGTCTGTGTGCCCTGTCCGGTTGACTCTTGAGTTTTTCGTCCATCACCTCTTGCGAACGCCAGTCGGCTAATTCCTGATCCCAGATGTCCACCACGCTGTACACACCGCAGCGCAGCCATTGGCATTCGCAGTTTTTTTTTTTTTTTTTTTTAAACCCAGGATTGTTGTAGAGGTCAGATACCCGGCCTGGCAAGACAGCCTTCAGTCGTCATCCATTCGGGTTGCTTGGACGATATATCGAGAACCCTTCCCAATATCCCTGGTAGTCCCATCGCGAGTCGAACCTACGGACATGCTACCGTCTCACTGGTAAGCATGTATGCATATTGCAATCAGACTCGTTTTCAAACACACTTTTCATGCATGTAAACAGCAGCGCAGCATACTGGCGACATGCGCCCACTCAAAACTCAAAGATATGGCTTTCAGATACGAATTCACTCTCAATTGACTATGGCGACTTCAACGGCCAAACATCTCACTGTTCACATACACTGGATCACCCTGGANCCAAACATCTCACTGTTCACATACACTGGATCACCCTGGATATCCCACACGCATCACTCTAACACTCGAACACACACACACACTCACTACTAACTACAGCTATGGCAGCTATCGCTGCATCTAACCTATCGCTCTGCTAACTCCCTCTCTCTTGCCCACTGTGTCCTCTGGGCTCATCTGCAGACCTCCTTGCACAAGTCGCTGTGGCAGCGCTTCCGCATGGCTCACGCAGGAATCAATCCATGGCTGGGCGCTGCCTCTTGATTTATACTTCAGAAACTCGTTGGTCTGCCCTTTGCCATCGGCCCTTGGTGCTCAGAGTCCCCCTGTGGTACTTGCTGGACCGGACTGGGACTGACTGGACCTTCCGCTGACTGACTGTGGACTCACCGCTATCCTACCGACGCTGTACTGCTGTTGCACTGCTGGTTTAGTCCACCACTTGCCTCGCCACTTGACCACTTGCCCACTTGCCTACCTTCTAGAAGGTCTACAGCTAAGCTTCCGGAACTCACTAAGACTTCTACGCTATAGACCTACAGATCGAACCCCTGCTGCCTATGGACCTACGACAGACCTACCAACTATCTGCGAATACACAGGTCACAGGTTCAATTCCCGGGATCTATACAGATACTGTACATAGGTAGGGTGAGGTCTAGGGACCGAACCCTGGGTACTGCATCCGCTAGTGCTAAAAGATGAAAACCGTTTCACTCCCGCCGTCCTAAATTCGAGGTCCTCCGAGAACATTTCAGTCCAAGTCGGGACCTTTACCTCTCTTGTCACGTTCATAGGCTCTGACTATGTCGGGAGCGGTTTCTAGAAGATCTGTTTTTGTGAACCAGCGGTCGTCTTCCAGTTCCTGATAAGCAAAACGGACCTTATATTGTTTCTGGGGACGACCTCTACCTCTTGTTCTGAACACATCCTCGTCTACAATGCCTTCAATGTCATAACTTCCATCCATATCCGGGGGGATCATGGATCTTCTCGAAGGAAACTGTTGACTTGGGACACATGGCAGCAGCTTTGAAGCATGAAACACAGGGTATGTGTGGAGGTGTGCCGGAATCTCGATGCTATAGGACGGCCCATCCTCTCCGCCCTTGACTTCTAGAACCGGCCACGGTCCTCTATATGCGGGCAGTAACTTCTGCGAGATGTTCTCTTCTGGTGCAAACTCTCTAGCCTTGACCCAGACTAAGTCGCCTACCTGAAACTGCTACAGGCGACGGTGCTTATTAGCTTGTTCCATCATCCTATGCTGGGCCTTCCTGAGGTTTTCAACAACAGTGGTTTGTTCTTTCTCGTGCTGTATCGCAAACTCCCTGGTACCGGGCGGTAGTCTGTGAATCTGATCCCGGTTCAGTCCTTCGAACGGTCTGCGTGGTCTAAAGGACTTACGCAACTCATTGGGAGTGCGACAGGTGGATAGATGTACGCTGTTGTTGTATGCACTAGCTACCTTAGGCAACATCTCATCCCAGTTTATCTGATCTGGCCTAATGTACATGCGCAAAACTTGTTGTAGGATCTTGTTCATCTGTTCTGTCTGACCGTTTGTCTCTGGATGTCGGCCAGATGACATTCACAACTTAGATCCGTAAACTCTCATGAGTTCTTGCCAGTTCTGGCTGGTGAAACGACTATCTCTATCACTAACTATTGACAATGGGATTCCGTTCTCACTAACCCAAAAGTCAAAGAACTTTTGTATCACTAAATTTGTATGTGCCTCTGCAGGCAAGGGAACAAAAACTGCATACTTACTAAAACGGTCAACTATGACCATGACTTGGCTCTTACCATGTCTGCTCTTGACTTCAGTGTCCATGAAGTCTATGGACACTGAGTCCCCCGGCTGATCCGGAATAGGCAAGGGTCTGAGAAGACCTAGGGGTGAGCGTGTTGTAGACTTATTCCTTTGGCACACTTTACAACTGCGAACATACTCTATGCAGTCATTCTTCATTCCGGGCCAGGTATACGCGCGCATTAGATTGGCTAATGTCTTTTGCCAACCGAAGTGTCCCTCAGTATCGTGGCATTCCCCTAGGATCAGACTACGAATCTCTTCGCTGTTGGGAACGCACAGGCGGTCAAACACATTAGTTTTCTCAAACAGCAACCCGTCTGTAGCGCGGTAATCCGGTTCGGCTTCTGGAACCTCTCTAACTCTCTTTAGGAGGTCGCTATAGATAGGGTCCTGCGCATACACTTGCTTCACTTTCTCCTACAGGTCTCTCCCTATATCCAGATAGTGTACTACGACTCCAAAGTAGTCTGATCTCTTACTTAGAGCATCCTCGACTACGTTGTATTCGCCTTTCACTGGTTTGAGCTCAAAATCGAATTGGTCTATCTCTGCGGCCCACCTAGTCAACTTAGGTGTCATCTTGGCCTGTGTCTTTAACCAACGAAGTGTCTCGTGGTCAGAATACACTTTGAAGTGACTCCCAAGCAGATAATGCTTCCAATGGTCTAAAGCTTGCTTGAGAGCGTAGAGTTCTCTCTCGTACGTGGAGGTAGCAACCTTCTCACAGGGCATCCTCGCTGACATGAACTCTACGGGTCTATAGCCATTACCGTCGTCTTGCTGCAACACGGCGCCTATCCCATACTGGCTTGCGTGCGTGGTAACGAGAAATGGCAAGGACGGATCGGCTACTTTGAGGACGGGAGATTCTATTAACGCGCGCTTTAACTTCTTGAGCGCAGACGTACAGTCTTTGTCCCATTGCCAGATTGCCTCTTTCTTTAGCAGTTTGCGCAAGGGGGCGGCGATAGTGGAGAAGTTCCTCACGAACTTCCTATAGTAGTTAGCTAAGCCTAGGAACGACCGCAACTCTGTCAATGTGCGGGGCGTCGGCGAGTCTCTAATCGCCGCTATCTTGCTGTCCTCTGGCTTGGTGCCATCTCCGTCCAACACGTGGCCCAAGTACAAAACTTGTGCCTTGGCCCACTCACACTTCTTTGCGTTGATCTTAAAGTTAGCCTCTCGTAGCTTCTCCAAGACCTGCCTCAGATGACCCTGATGTTCCTGGAGGGTTTTACTAAAAACTAAAATATCATCTAAATAGACTACAACAAACTTATCTAACCATGGTCTAAGTAGCTGGCGTGTTGGTTAGTCCAGAGGGCATCACTATGAACTCATAGTGCCCGTATCTAGTCCGAAACGCAGTCTTATACTGATCATCAGGGTGGACTTCTATTTGATGGTATCCGGACTTTAAGTCTATCTTAGAGAAGTACTTACAACCCTGCACCCAATCTAAAAGATCGTCTATTCTGGGCAGCGGCTCAGCATTCTTTACAGTAATCGCATTCAAACCCCTATAGTCTATACACATTCTCAGCTCTTCTTCCTTTTTGGGGACAAACAAAATGGGTGCTCCAAAAGGAGACGAACTGGGCCTGATCCAACCTTTCTCAAGGAGCTCGTCTAACTGTTTGCGAAGCTCCTCTAACTCCCTGGGGGACATTCTGTAGACTGCACCCTTAGGAGTTCTACGGCCAGGCTCTATCTCTATCCTGTGCTGGATGGGTCGCGGCACTACTCCTGTTGGCGACTCCGTCAAATCTTTGAACTCTTCCAGTAGCTTGGCAATTGTTGGATTTGTGGAACTATCCTTTTCCTGAGCCTCAGTGACAGGTCTAACATAAACTACAAAGACATGTTCCTCTAACTGCTCATTTTTTACTAATCGGGCAAACGCGGGAGCACTGAGACAGCAATGTGCCAAGGTATTGTCTACACCAGACACATGGAACAAGCGGGCAGTCTTAACCTCGCCTGACGGACTAGGGAGCCTACACTCATGCCCTCTCAAATGGAGTGTGGCCCCTGCTGCCTCTCCCCAATCCATTCCTAAAACTACATCAAAAGGAAGGTCATCCTGCACGAGGAGAGTCAAAGAATGAAGGACCTTCTCCACTTTTTCATTCTTCTCTAGACGAAAGTACGCCTGGACTCCCTCTACGTAGTCCTCAACTCGCATCGTGCGGTTGTCTGCGAGGACACTAACTATGGGGTCTACTAACTTTTGGACTTTTAGTCCTAGCCTCAGCTTCTTCAGCGCCCTACGACTAACGTAACTACGGGTAGCCCCTGAATCTATAAGGGCCCCTACTCTACTTCTAAACACCTCTACATCTACCAAAATCAGTTGTCCCTTACTCTTCCTTTTCATTTTGGCCCAGGCTGGCATCCTCTCCTTTAACTCTTTTGCCACACATGTGAGGGACGTGCCTAAAGAGACGCTAACACAGGCGGTCTCTGGACAGCTAGCTAGGCACGGGCCTGCAACCTCTGCCATAGGTTCATGTGGGTTGGGAGTGTCCTGTTCGCGCGCGCTCACTTCTCCACATGACCTTGAAGTAGGGGCAGTTGCAACCCCTACTGGCGGCTGCCTTTTGACTGCTGGGCAACCCAATGGGCCTGTCTATACTTAGGACAAAATTTTATTACGTGCGCACGGTCACCACAAAATACGCACTGACCCATGTTCACGCGTTCCTGCCATAATTGCCAGTCCAAGCCCAAGTCTTCCCAGGGCCTGCCCTGTGGTAAGTCTGGGTGCCATCCTCCTTGAGGTGCCATCCTCCTTGAGGTGCCCTTCCACCTCCTCGCTGTGGGGACCGATTACCCTAGCGATTTAACGGGGGACCTTGACCCCTACCTCCCACTTGGCGGTTTCCCTGTCCGCCAACTCCCTGTGCGCCCGGATCAGGGCCTCCCATGGCCTAGCCCCTTTGGCCCTGGCCTCCTCCTCTACCTTGCGGCTTCTCTCCAGCTGCGACAACAGCATAGGACCTCCCTTGCCCCACACTACTGCCATCATCCTCGAGGCCCCACTCGATTTGACTATACGGAACCTCGTGTGTACCACCTTCCTCTAAGGTAAGGATCATATGATCCTTGGCCTTGACTTGGCCATAGATGGTACGCCCTTTCCACCCTTTTCCTTTCTCCAAGTCTTTGTGCCAGAAGGTGGTAACTGGCATAGACTTTGACTCATACAAGACAACTTCTCTACTGAATGCATCATATGTGATGCCGGCCTGTTGAGATTTGTCAAAGAAATGCCCACACAGGGCCTCTGGTATGGCACGATAAAACAATTGGACCAACTGGGTCTCAGTGACCCCATGGTCTGGGACGACCACTAAGTCGCCCATGGTACCCTTGAGTGCCTTGGCACTCCTCCACTGTCGTGAGTGGATCGTTTGCAGCTTGTCAGAAGCTCTAATGCCTCACGTTGGGTCAGCGAAACGCTCCTTGAGGAGCTTGAGGAATTGGGAAAGAGGGGTGACTTTGGAATAGGCAACCAGGTTGTTTTCACAACCGGCTGTACGCGCAAGAGACCTGGCGAAACTAGCCGCTTCATCTTTGAGGGCCTGGAAGGCCACGAGGACTTGTTCCTCAATCAAAATGTGTTGTAAGTAAATATAACTATTGACACTGTCTTCCCAGTTGTCAAAGTTTTCTTCCTTCTTTCCCCCGTACGCATCTGGGAACTTAAGTTTCACTGGGTCCTTACGGGGTCTGGCCTCTCCTTTTACAGCGGTTGCAGCTTTGGCACCCTGAATGACGCCCTCACAAAACTTCCCTACATTGTCCCTCAACTGTTTGACTTCGCCCCCAATGTGGGTGACGATTTCGCGAGCAAAATCCCTGAAACCAGACTGCATGGCACTCAACGCTACATCCTGGCTCCAGCTTGCCTGGCGCTCCTCCATCCAGGCCTTGCTCAACACCTCTAGGTAGCCCAGTACCTTGTCCCACTTGGCCTTATCATCTRGCTGGGCCAGYACCTCCGCYCTACACTCCTGCACCTTTGCCACTKYTGCKGYCATYTTATTCACTTCCTCTCTCCTCCTCTTCTTCTCCCTCTTCATTCTCARCTTCCATGCTAACTTTTGCTCGTCTTCCCTCTCTCTTCGTTCCATYGGGTCYGTCATGGCTGCTAGCTCAGCGGCCAGCGCAACCTTCTCATCCTTAGTCACATATGACTCCGCCTCCTCGTCTTCCCCCAACGATAAATTAGCGACCCACTCGCTGATCTTCTTCTCCAGCTCAAGATCTGTTTCCCACTTCATCGTGCCACCACTGCTCCCTTCTCCACTCTCAATCCTCATTCTCTCTTTCTCTTCTTCTGCTGCCGCTTCTGCTTCAGCAACTTTTCTTCTTTCTTCCTCCTCTTGTTGTACTCTCTTCATCTCCTCCTCCAACCGCTTCATCTTCGCCGCCTGCTCGTCTGCAATAGCCTTCGGCTTCGCTTGCTTCTCACGTTCTTTCCTCTCCCTATTCTCTTGGACTAAGGAGGCCATCTTTTCTTGTTGCTCCTTACTATAGGGGCTAGTCTCTAACCCACTACGGGTCCCAACCATGGTGATAAGTGTACAACCGGGTTAGTGGTTCCAGACCTCACCACGTAGACTCTGACCCCTGACTGACAAACCTATAGACTCAATCTAAGAACCCACAAAATCCTGACAAGGATCCTGTCAACCACGGTCTCTATCCTAGACCTATGTTATGGCTGTCACTACTGAACCAGTGGCTGATGAGGAGGCATTTAAGGAGATCCCCCGTAACTCCTCAATAATTCTTTAACGCCGCAGACAGGACGATGTGATCAGCTTGGTTCTGCCTGTGCTTTCAGCCCACAACTCAGCCTTTCCGGCCTACTGTGCCACACCGAGCAGCCCGCCGGTCTGTACCGGTTCTTGGGAGGGTTTGACCTCCGGGTCAGTCGAGTCGTCAGACACAGATCCTCTGCCTTACTTGGTCCGGTAGGGGAGTGGTTCAAACAGGTCCTCAACACTTAAAGACTGTCTGGTGTGTCAGCCCTAACTGTCGTTCAGGCCCACTGAGTCCTACCAACCGTTTCCAGCCGGTCAGCACAGGTCCTTGGGAGGGTTATGCCACCCTGGAAAGTTGGATCAGCCACAGTCTTAGCCCTACAAGGTCAGACTAGGGTTTCGTCATCCAAACCCTATCCTTTATCCACAGAGTGCTATGACCTAGGACAGAAGAGACTCAATGCAGAAAGAATAGACAGACAGACTGTACTCAACAAGTACCAAGGGGTATGTGCACATCCATAGGGCAAGGGTAGGCTAAGGCCTTGGCGAGATGTTACCAACTCCAGCTTGGTCAAAGTCTTGGTCAACGGTCTTGGTCAACGCCGGTCAACTCCGCGGTCAACCCCCGGTCAACTCTGGTAATGCCGATCAACACCCCCGGTCAACCCTCTCGGTCAACTCCCCGGTCAGCTATGGCTGCCGGCTCTTCTTCCTCGCCGATCCCCTTCTTCTTCTTTACCTCCCTCGCCTCCCTTTCCCCGCTGTCTTCTTCTTCCTCTTTTTTTTTTTTTTTTTTTTTTTTTTTTTGATCGGCCTCCTCTTCACCTCTTGGCTATGGCCGCTCTTCTACTCCCTCAGTCTCTCCCCCTCTGTCCTTCTCCCTCCTACTTCGTCACTCCGTGGTACAGGCTCTGCGGCTATGGCCTCTGTCTTTCTCCTTCGTAGACTGCGCAGCAACTTCACAGGTATGTAACAGCCAATCTTGTATCGTTCATCTCTCTCTCTCTCTCTCTCTCTCTCTCTCTCTCTCTCTCTCTCTCTCTCTCTCTCTCTCT